GAGAGAGAGAGAGAAAGAGAGCTATTTCTTGTAAAAATTTTTCCTTATATTATTTCGTATAATAAATCTTTTATATGTCAATTAAATATAATATTTCATTGCATCGTACTAGTGGAAATTACGGTTTAATTTGACAAGTAAAATCTGTTAATTTGATACAAAGATCCAACGTTTCTTCGTTACAGCGATAACATGTACGCGCCATTTCCCTTAAATAATCGCATGATATTCATATTGAAGATAAACGTCCGTTGTGAATTACGTGAGATTCCTTTATGATTCATGCTCCGTTGTGCGTTACAATAGTTCGCGCGACTTGAATCGAGGCTGCATTCCATTCGCCGAAAATCCGAATAGACGGAAGACTTCAGCGAAGAGACGCGCAAAGTAGATGAAGTGATTTCCACTCGCTCGCGCTCGAAGCTGCCCCTTGTAAGGAATCACAGACAATTGCCAGTAACTAATTATTCGCGGCTGTCCGGCTTCGCGAGGTACAGTCGGCAGCTTTTGCGAGAGGGTCTGCTGCGTATAGAAGCGTTATTCGTGTATTCTTCTCCTGTCGACAGCCCACGTTGGTTGGCGCAGGCTTCACGTCGCGGTGACGGCGACGTTTATCCGAGACCTGTCGGCGCCTTATAACGCTAAGCTACAATTAATGTCGACGGCCATCGTTACCGTCGTCTCGTACTTGTTAATTAACTTCCGAATATAACGGACGCACCGGTCGGTTTGCGCGTGCGGAATGTAGGCGAGTCGCGCGAAATCGATAGGAACGAGAGGTTTCCTGTCGGAGCAGTGCACCGTGGCTGGTTATGTACCTTCTCCAAGTTCGATGAAAAATTTATGAAGAGTCGGATTTACGAGAGGAGGCGGACTCGTGCGCTTAATGCGTGATGGTGGGAACGAGAGGAGGCGCGCTCGCTCGCGCGAGACAGAGAGAGAGAGAGAGTATAGGCGGAGGAGAGAAAAACGTCGGCGTACGAGGAACACAAAATTCTCCTCGTGCCGTCGCTGGCACGAGGAGAGACGATGGAATTTTTATAACGACACGTTTTGCGCCCGGGATTATTTTAGGGACGTTCTCGCGGGAATTGAGCGCGGAGGAGGCGCGCGCTTCTGCGAGAGTATTCGCGAGAGCTACTGCGCCGGAAATGAATTCGCGCGTTGACATCACGTACTTCCGACATTCTTTTTTCATGTTACGTATGGTGGCTCGCTAATGTGGAAAACATGTTGTGGAAACTTGCAGAGGTGTATTACGAAGGTGTATTACTTTCGGTTATACTTATCCGCGAGACGACAGAGGAGTGCGTGACGTGTCTGCAAAGTAGTAACAGGAATGTTTTTCGCACCTGTGATAATTTCGATCCTTTTCGATGTTTTCGAAACGCGTCACAAGCACGAATAAACATGAGACTTCAAGTGATAATCGATAAAACACGAATTCGATTACCTTCCAATTGGCAAAAAAACGAAACGCCATACAAAGAGTCAGTTGCTGAAAAAATGTCAAACTCCGATCCGATTGAATGAGTACTTGAATTGTAATTTGCAATTTTGATTCAAAATAGCGCGAGTAACCGCGAAACTGCGTAAAATCGTGAACTCGGTTAGTTTCCAATTGACGAAAAACAAAACACAACACAGGTCAATTGAAAAAGAAATATATATCAAATTGATTGGAATGAACCGTAATATAAAATTTTAAAATAGCTGTAATTATATTATACATATAAAAAAAATATATTCAAAGAGCGATAAATGTTGCTATAGTAATGTTGATAATATTGGTAATATTGATATAATTGATATTGATATTAGTTAAAACACATTAACACACAACATTATTTTAAAGATTGTAGCTTTAGATCGCGTGATTGCGATGTAAAACCGGATCATAAATTAATAATATCTATATATCTATTCGAAATAATGCAGTTACATGAATAATGTATTTTCCAACATCCGATAAATTCTTCCTGCAACATTAAGGTGTTAACATGACAGACCGTTTTACGATATAGCGGAAAAACAATACACGTGCGTTTGATCGATTCGTCATTCTGGATTACACAAGCACAAGTCGCAAGAATCGTTCGCATCGATTCTTTTTTGGCTCTGCTGTGCGATTTCGTTTTAGCGCTGTACACACGCTGATATACACCTCGAGGATTTCAGGATTATCCCAAATCCTTTGTTGCCCTGGAAGTCGAAGGATTTCTCGAGGACGGGCGTCGACTAGGCGCCCTTCAAAGGTTGCAACGATATCCCTGCAATCTCTCCCGGACTATCTTTAGCCTCTTTTGGACCTTCAATAACACACTGAAATAACGCTTGGAAAAGGCGTCCTTCGCGTCCAAAAGTGTCCAAAAATTTGTGGGCCAATTCGATGACCGAGATAGGATCGATATAAAAGCTATGGGACGGGATATGAAGTTCTTTATAGGTATGACGCGCGTCAGAGATTGATCACAATTCGGGATTAACTTTCGTTCGGGGTATTGGCTCGGAGGAGATCGAAGAACGAATCGGCTCTAGCGGTACGCTGGATAAGAACCTGAGTTACATTAAATACCGGAACACTTAATGGCGGTTTGAGATGAAATCTCCGCTATAAATGAGCCCTATAGAGCGACGCGACTTCCGCTGCGCGACGATTCTTCCGTCACATTTATCTCATCGTCGTAACATATATATATATATAATGTATATATTACATACTACACACACACACACACACACACACACACACACACACACACACACACACACACACACACACCA